CCCCCCAACACACCCCTTCCCCCCTCCCCACAAAAAAAAAGGGCAACGGACATATCCGACTTCTCGAGGAGTTTTGCAATATTGCGTTTTTGAGCCAAATGTATTACAGCGCTAGCGAGAGAAATTCTGGGAAGGGCAAAGGGTTATACAAGAAGTTTAAAGAAAAACAAACACAGTTCGCTGGTGGTGAAGCTCCTGGGAGGGAAACCTTCCTCCCTGCCCGTGAAAGGACGGCGGGGATCAGCCGCGTCGCGGCTCCCCTGGGGCTGGGGGCTCGCTGGGTTTGCAGCGGAGCGGCTGGGAGTAAGGCAGGAAAGAAAAGGTTTCTTTGATCTCTGGTTGCCCTCTTATAATACTGGCTAGCATTAGGCTGCATCTGGTGTGAGCCTCCCCTTTATCCCTCGGATGTTGTCAGGTTGTATCAGTATGATCTGCTCTGGATGGGACTCTCTGAGGACAGAGCGCAAAAGGAAGCCCTGCCTGTACTGCTTTTGTGTCTCTCCGGCGGAAAGACTTGCTGAGCTGATTTAAATAACCTGACACATGTCTGGGGTGCGCGTGCACGCAGGTTTTCCCCGGCACCTGGGCGAGGAGAGGGCCTCACGCGCCGCTGCCTCGCGAGGGGGACGGTTGGGAAGTATTAGCGTCCTTTCCTTCAGGAGAAGGACGATCCCCCAGGCCTGACAGGGCAGGTCTCTGGGGCTCTTCGGGTGCGCAAGAGCTGTCACGCGACCATGGCAAAGGTAGCCCACTTACCGGTCGCCACTGTCTTGCCTTCTCAGGGAATTTTCTACTCCAGATTTGCACATTCCTGGTTCAGTAGCAGCCCAGCGGTTTAATCTGCTGTTTTGTGTTTCCTCTGAAATCACTTAACTAGGTATTGTCAACAAATAAACGGAGCCACGAGGAAGAGACTCAGGGACCGAGGAAAGGACCTGCAGCTCTCTGTGTGCTGTCCCTTCTGTTTCCTGGGACTACCCCAATTTTTGTCCCCTCTGAGAGCTCGGGTTGCCTGCTATTTCCGTTCCCAAATACTGGCAGTTGTTTCAGGCTTGTTTCGGACTGGTGGGGGAATAAGAGATGTGTTGTGCAAGGGTTTAACAAGGAGAGAGACATGACAAGAGAGGTGGCTGTGTTAGAGGGATTCGTCAACTTCAGACAGAAAGGATGTTTAAAAACCACCTCTCTTTCCCCACGAATTTGAAAGAAGTTGACTGAACAGGTGGACTAAAAAAGGTGAGAGAGACAGAAATAAAAAGGCTTCAATAGATACATGTTTTTACTTTCCTTATGGGACAGAGCTAAATTGTCAGTGTAATAAAAGAAAAACTTTAGCCTTTGCTGTCAAACTTTTTAGGAAATTCACCTAGACTAAGACAAGTGGAAACTGCTTACTTGGTCTGTTTCAAAACAGCTGATGCTTGGTGATAGCTGAGGGAGGTGTGGAAAACAAGTTGAGTGGGATGCATTTCACTTGTCAATCTCTTTTTACCAGTGAGAACCTCTTCCAAAACTGAATTGCCATCCTTCCCTCCCCTCAGGTAAAAAGCTGAGAATAGAGATAAGCCAACCTAAAGGCTCAGCAAACTCGGGCACCATAAGGATCATCAGGGAAAGTGAATTCTGGAGCAACTGGACCTGGCTCAAGAAAGGCTTTCTACTGGCACAGTGGAAAAAAGACAGGTAGCAGGGAGCGTCCATTGCCGCAAGCAGAGCAGCGTATCTCAGGCACACGCAAGTGTGTGGAGAAAGACCTGGTGGAGACGAGGACAAGGGAAAGGAGAGGCAAGGCGTAGGGTAATCAGGCTGTATGTGCTACGGTTTTATGCCTGGTGGCTCTTACGATGTTCAGATAGACGCATTAGTCAAGATACGTGCCATGCTTGTATTGTAAGTCGTTATTTTCTTTGTGCTGGAGCTATTCCAATCACAATCATTTTCATGTTGAGTTATTTCTCCTTTCACAGGGGATCTTACTTAAAATCTCCAAATTGGGGGGTATCAGGAGTAGCGCAGGATATTTGGTGAATGACAGAAATTGCCGATATGTCCACAGGGGAAGGCAAGTCTGTATTTCATTCTCAGGAAGCGGACCACTTAGACCCAGGATTTGCTAGGAAAGGAGATTTCCTTGTCTGCCCCTGTCTAGTCATAATTTTTTTTCAGTGTCTTTCTTAGACTTATCTGTGAATAGATATTTGCTGTCCAAAATGTTCTGTTCCAAGGAGTTGATGGACAACAGGAAACTACGATCAGTTGAAAAAGAAAACATTTCCAAACATGGCAAAATCAAGCCCCTGTGGGCTTTTGGGTCTACCTTGCCATAGTTCCTACTACTGGAGCTTTGGCTTACTGCAGTATGCACTGACTGGTACCTTGACTGCTTAGTCTTCCTTTCACAAAATCCCCTGATACTGATCTCAGTACCAAGATGGATTTTTGGTGTGTGGCTGGAGCTGGATACTGAAAATAAGTAGTTCAGGCTAGACCCAATTACTGATACTGTGCTAGGTTGCTTGTTGTTAACGTTCTCTGTCTAAACATCTTCTACTGGCCATTACTGCAGGCACGATACTAGGAGAAACAGCTGTTTGATCTGTGCTAGCATAGCCTTTCCTGAGTCCGTAGCGTGGTTCAAAGATCCGTTGTCGTTAGTTTGTGTTTGCAAAGACCTCTCATTGTGGCATCCAGCAAAGCAGAGTAGGTTGAACCTATGGAGACTAACTATTTCTGCCTTAAGACAGTGCTTTTAAGCACTTGCTTTACTTTTATAGGGCCTGAAAGGGCCTAAAGGGTAAATGGGATAGACTGTGATCCATTTGATGCCCATGCTTGTCTTTGGGCGGTTGAGCAAAGCCCTGAGCACCTTGCTTCCTGTGATTTTGTTATAGCTCTGAGCTCTCTTGTTAGCCTCACTGTTTCAAAAGGGAAATAAAGCAATACGTTGCTACTGGTTTTTGCAAACAACTGGTTTCTATAATCTAGAGATAGGTTTTGGATGGGGCTTTGTAGTTCAGATGTTAAACTATGGGTGTTATTTATTTCCTTTTTTTCCCCTTTGAGTAACGGTATTTTAGATACAAATGCATCTCTGGATTTTTAGAGTAT